AAAAGTTAAAGCTTGCTCATCGGTGTGTGACAGGACGTGACCATGTTTTATATGAAACACTTTATTCAGAGGAGAAAAGCTATTTTGAAAAGAGAATATTTTGACAGGTTGTTTATTCGTCTGCTCTCATCAGCTGCCCCGACTGTCATCAACAACAGGGAGAGACAGCTTTGTCAGGGTCAAAGGTCACTTCTTTGGGGGCAGTAGATGATGATGACGGTCTGCAGAAAGCTTTCATTGATGAATGCAGTTTATTGATCATTGGTGAATGAGCTGATTGATTATCATGATGTCAAATCAAAGCGCTGAAGCAAAGCATTATGGGATATCAGATAAATGTAAATCAGCCTGAAGCCACGTGGCATCTGACTACAGGCAAGATGGAGGACAGGAAATCATGTGACATCAGCAGCACCCGGCATTTGACGTCAGAGCAACCTCGCTCTTGTGTAACAGAGGAGCATCTCAGCGGGGTTATAATCGAGTCATGTGACGTCTCCGCCTCAGCTGATTCTACAAACATCAAAGTTTGACAGGAATTATGAGGGCCCGTTCCTCGTCGTCGTGCACGCCCCGCCTACTCGGCCACGTGTAAACGACCGCACGTGTCTTCCAATTCTGAGGTCACGTGACTTCCTGTCTGCCACAGAGGTTGACCATCTTGTCCGCAGCTGTTCTCGAAGCCATGGGGAGATTTCATATTTGGATATGCACACAAACTCTCACTCGCTGTGATCAATACGGCGTGTGATCATGTCATCTATGGCGTCCTTGTTCACGATTTGATGCTTTTTGTTCCTGTAATCAACCAAGTGCACTTCAGTTTGTAAAAGTCGATATTAAAATAAAACTTTATTAACTTGTCCTGAGAAATTTTAAGATTAATCAATGAACAGGATCAGTGTCTGTGAAACATACGATCGTTCCCACGATCAGAGAAATGTTTAAATCATTGTATCTGTTCCCACCGCGCTCAGTGTCCCTGAACGTTACACAGCAGAACCACAGCAGAGTGCAGATTCTGATCCCATGATGCTGAACGCAGCTGTGCAGCCAGGTAACGTGATGATGATGATGATGATGATGTCCATTCCCACAAAGACTTCCTGAGCTTGCTCAGTTTGTCTTCCTCGTTTCCTCTGTGCCCGAGTGTGAGCAGCCGTAGCACAGGCTGTAGACTCAGCAGCCGGTCAGAGAGAGGGACCGACATGTACATCATTACTGTGTCACTGAAAGATGACGGTACTGTATGTGAGGTAATTACATACATGTCATGAGGGAACAGTCACATGACCTGAGAGTGTCACATGACTCCTCCATGCAACACGAAAAACTAAAATATTTTATTCTTCAAACGACACCTGGCTTAAGGCTCGGGGTGATGATGTAAAGGTCAGTCACATAAAAATCAGGTCAGTGAAGACTCATTTTGTCCACATGATGGCGCTGTTTCACTCTCATTCATGTACTTCACCTGTGGGCAGGTGTCTCTGTGACTGAGTGCTGGCACTGAATCAGGCTCCTGCTCCAGAAATCAGCTTCAGTTAAAACTCCTGAAAGACAGTTAAACTGAGTCCATTACCGTGGCAACAGACTCACCTTTTCACTGGCAGGTGTTCCCTCTGACTCCGCCCTGAGTCCTGCAGCCCAACCATTTAACTGACCTTCCATTTCGTAGAATAGCTGTCAGAGATCAGAGCGAGGTTCGTATAAACACTTCACTGTAACCTCTGACCTTAACACATTCTCAGTGGGTATACCAGACAGCAGGGAGTCCACAGCACTCACTCTGCAGGATCCAGATTGGATCAGGAGCACGGACTCAGAGCGGATCAGACCGAGGTTCCCGATTTAAACGTCTCCTCCTGAAATGTTTGAACCGTGTCTGAGCGCATGCAGACAGCTCTATAACAGATGCTGTGGGCAAACTGGCTCCGATCGTTGGATTTAAGGTCAAAGGTCACATCAGGATTCAGCTGATCTAAATCAAACTTTATTCAGTCTGTGACGATGACAGAGTGCTCTTTGTTGACCCTTTGCCCTGGTCTGTCAGGCTGAACATACTCCGAGCTGATTGGACCAGCTCGAATCTTCTGGAACAGGAAGTTCAGAGTTTGCTGAAGCCGCTTCCTGGATCAGGGTCCAGGTGAACGAGTTCAGAGTCTGTGTTTATTTTTATTGACTGTTGTGACACTGTGATGAAAATAAATCAGATTTTTAATGAACACACTTTTGCCATTTTTATCATTAAACTGGAGTCAAATAGTTTATCACTGTGGATTCAGATTCCTGGTTTTACTAGGTCAAAGAATGCGGAGTAAAACATTAGTGACTGTTTTCAGACATAAGATTTCTCTGTGATTCTGATTTTAAATACACTTAGCAAGAATACGTCCAGCGTGTTACAGACAGAAATATATCTCCCTCTGGAATCCAGCAGAATCTTATTGCTCTGTCGGGGAGGTCGCCTGGTTCCACAACACCAGCTCACCTTACATGCAAATAAGAAAAATACAGCATCAGCAATACGAATTTAAAAGGTGATTAAATCAAGTCCAGGAATTAAAGTGCTTCCTCTTTTTCTCTCAGCTGCTCCCTTTACAGGTTGCCACAATGGATCATCCTCATCTTCCTCACCAACCCTCTGCATGTTCTCTTTCACTGCATCCATGAACCTCTCTGAGGTCGTCTTCTTGCCTCCTGCCTGAACTCATCCTTTCTCCACATCCTGTCAGCTCTGTCTCTGCCAATCGATACAAGCTCTCATCTCGGTGGTGTCCAGCATCACATACAGCTCACTTTAAGCCTTTTAGTTCTCCTTTGAAATCTCTCTTATCTGCACACCAAGCCTCTTAGTACTCCTGCCTACTTTCTTAATCTCCCTTTCTCATTTTTCATTTGATAAACATTTGATAAATACTTTCCAAAATCGCACCTGATATGGGGGCAAAGACGGAAGAAGCTCTGGATGTGGTGCACAGAAACACATCATTATTCTGGAGACATGTGAAAGAAGAGATTTAGCATCGACTCAGCTGTCGGTAAGAGCAGCAGGTTCCACTTTGCAGTGCTGCTGTGGGAGGACTGGGAGGAGACTGTGGCCTCACACTGAGCGAGCGAGGCGGGCTGGGAAACGGTTGGAGACGATCTGAGGTGATGACAGATGAACAATTTTGTTTAAAAAAATTATTACTGGGCCAATAGAGCTCTATTAAACGTCACCTGTCACTGAGTTTTTCGGTACTTAACTCCTATGTTAAACTTAAAAATGTTGTTCGGCTCATTAAACATTCAGGGTTTGAGCGACACATCAGGATGTCACATGTTGGACTGACCAATGGGGAGACAGGTTTTGTTTTTCAGCATTTGCCACATTTACTCATTTCGCTTCACTGTGATTTAGACTGCAGCTCATTACCAGTTAAACTCTCAGATCTCCATAAGCAGGTGCCTCTTTAATGGAAATGAATATACAAACACAACTTTACTCCTCACAGTACAACAACAGGTACCTCGACTGGGTAAATAATCTGTGGATGAATGGAGATCCAAAGGGATTCGGCTTGTAGCCCATTTTACAGATGAGGAGGATGTGACTTGTTACCTGTAAGAACATCAGATACGCTGACGGAACTATAAAAGTGTCCCTTTGAGACCAAAGATAAAGAAGATATTATGCTCTGTAAGGTCTCCTCTGGACTGACACAGCACAGCAGAGCAGGAATTGACTTTTGTGACACAAACAAGGCGATCAGAGCTATTTTGTCCAAACCCAGTTATATTCTTAAAGAATTTAAGAATGAGAAGATTAGGGTTATACAAAGAAGATATATTTATCTTCCCCTAAAAGTAAACATCAAAATAATAAATACGATTTTTATAAGATCACGTGTTTTTTTACTGTGAATGGGTTCAAGCTTTTTGGAACGGCACGTGGAGCTGCATGCAGTCCAGGGCGACTCCATCGTCGGGATTGATAATAACATCTGCATTCTGTTATGAACGATACCTTTTTCTCCATAAATGTAGATGCTGTGAAGCTTAACTGTGTATGAAAAGATGGCTGAATGAAAAACTCCCAACTGCTCTGTTTTATTCTACTTTTCTTCTTTTGACGTACAGTAAAGGACTTTTTCTCTTCACATTTTGTGTTGACCTTTGTTACACTGTAACAGTTTTTTCTTTTTTATAATCTTTCATCTTTGTTTCTTTAATCATTGTTGGACTGATGTTCATAAATACATTTCAGTATGATAACATCGTTTTTTGGATAAATGTCCTCTGACGTTTTAAATGTACCTCTTTTATGTTAGGATGAATTATGATTTTTTTTCTAGTTTTCTCATTTTTCTGATGACGTCGCCGCAGACGCTCTGGGTGCGCACGCTCAGTTAATTTGTTGAGCGCTTCACCTTTCCTCCAGCAGGCGGCGGTCCTCCCACGAAGAAGGAGAAGAAGAGAGATTCGCCTTCTGACCCGGAAGTAGCCATCGCGTCAGACCGCCATGTTGGCTGCAAAGAGAGCGGGGAATCATCCCGCGCAGAGTGTATTCGTCTGACCTCTGACCCGGGCCGGCTGACCCGAACCCTCCTCGGTCGGTTCGTCCTCCGAAAACGTGTGCGCGCGGGACAAAGACAACATGGCGGCCCTGAGCACGTTCTCTTCGCAGGTGGAGCTGATCATGGAGGTAGCCGTGGGGAGCGCTGTGCACGAGCTGGGAAGGGAGGGCGCGCGAGCGGAGCACGGCCAGGTGAGGAGCTTAGGTGAAGATTATGTGAGAGCAAAATCCGCCGTCACTTCCGGTTTCGCGTTAAAAACATGCTACAAAAAATAAGGGATGAGGGTAAAAAACACGTATTGGCCCCGCCCACTGACACGCAGGAGACGCCTGGAGGCAGGTGTTTGATCTTTGACCCAAGTATATGCAGCTCTGAAGTGCGCATGCCTTCAGGTTTGTCCAGAAGTGTGGTGCACGCGCATGGTGTAGCTGTAACTGCTCACATGACCAAAGGTAAGCCTCACTTTCACCTGCCGCAGGTGACGTCATCATCCTCTACTTAACCTAAACAGAAGCTTAAGGTTAAGAAAACAGCAGCACCTAACCTTAAAGGTGCAGCCTCGCTAACCACCCTCAGTAGAAATGAGGCATCATGGCGTCATCTGTAAACAGCTGGGGCTGCGTCACTGGGCTCAGCACACAGCTTTGGGGGGAGCCTGTGTTTAGGAAGGCCTGGAAATGCATTTTGTTGTCATTGTGTTGCACCAACTGTCCACGGAATAAAAAGATAAATAAAAGCAGAGAAAATCTGTGAACGACATTGTCACATGACTGAGCGTGCAGGTGAAGAGCTGTGGAAACGGCGTCCTCGGTGAAGCGGTTCCACGTCTGGATGGTTTTGGTAAGAAGTTTGTCTCAGCACTGTCGGTGTTCGTGCCACAGGCCGACAGTCAGTCAGGCATTCGCACTGAAAACGTGCTGCGTGTCATGGAGAACACTCACTGCGAGCATCAGTCTCCGAGAGAGTCGGCATGTTGTGACATCAGGGTGAACTCCTCAGGTGGATGTGGGCGGGGCCTGTCTGCAGGTTGTGTAATCAGAAATCAGTTACGCTCGGGTCCTCAGATCAGATGTTTTACCTGTTCCACCTGTGCATCTATCATGTCACCCATGCGTCTGTGCTGCAGGCTCACCTGTCCACCGTGCTGGGGGGCGTGGCCAGAGAGGCAGTCCGTAAAATCTGCAGAGTCTTCAGGGAGCTGTATGCGAGCGTAGAGGCGGAAAATGAAGCTCTCAGGGCAGAACTGAGTCGCCTCGAAAACACACCCGGCGCTTCGAGGATGGCCAAACCGTCGGTGAAGTTCAGCCCGGCAGGTGAGACCCAGGGTCAAAGGTCGAACAGTCATTCGGCTCAAAAGCCTGGGTTAAAGTCTCACAGGAAACTCATTGGTTTCTCCTGCAGATGCACCCGCCCTGTCTCTGGATGTCCAATCAGCTGCTGCCACTGCTGCTGTGGCTGTGGTCATCCTCAGCCCGCCGATGCACGCACCAGTCACAGGCCAGAGCGATCTGACCACACTGCAGAACGGCGCTGTGAGTGTTTTGGACATGACGCACTTCTCTGCAGATCCTCAGGTGTCACGTGATATGATCCAGCCCGCAGAAGTGACATCACTTCCTGACTGTGAGGATCAGCCGGCCGCTGAGCTTCCAGGTGATGAAACCCACGAAGAGCAGTGTGACGCTGTGAGTGACGACAGCTGCTTCAAACTGGTTGATTGACTGGTTGATGGTTCTGTATGTGGTGACCGATAATACCATCGCGTTTTCCAGGCAGCAGAGACGAAGTCTGAACCTGCAGGACAGAAACACGATGATCAGCAGGTGCCCGGCGGTCCGACAGGTGAGCGCGCTGCTACTTTTAAATACTGTACGAACCACAGGTAAGCCTGTGGTTTGAGAGCGATGTGCTCTAACGGCGTGATGCGCTACGTTAAGATGGGGCCTGATTAGTCAAGACCTAGCACGTGAGGATCTCGATGATGTCGTCCTTCAGAACAGCTGATGGTCCAATAATCAGTCGCTTCTGTTTGTCAAACCTGCAGCAGCGTCTCTGACTTCCTGTCTTACTGTTCAGGTGTGAGCGAGGAGCAGCAGAAGGAGCAGGAGAGGAGGCGGAGGAGGGAGCTGTACAAGGAGAAGCGGTTTTTCTGCGAGCTGTGTGACAAAGGCTTCCATCAGAAGCACCAGCTGCTGAAGCACGCCGCGTGCCACCTGAAGCCGTTCCCCTGCAGCTCCTGCGACAAAGGTTTCTACAAAGCGCAGACGCTGCAGCGCCACCTGCTCGCCCACCGTCTCCGCGAGGCGCAGGAGAGCGACCCAGACAAGCTGCTGCGCTGTGACCAATGCGACAGGAAGTTCAGGCTGCCACGTCAGCTTCGAGCGCACCAGGCCTGTCACCGGCTTGAGAAAACGCCGCTCAAGTGCTACGCATGTGACCGCACCTTCACCTCCAGTGGGGCGCTGCGATACCACGAGGTGTCGCACGCCAAAGTCAAGCCCTTCATGTGCGACGTCTGCGGAAAGAGCTTCACGCGCAAGAAGAGCCTGCGCGAGCACCAGACCGTGCACACCGGGGCACGGCCATACTCCTGCCAGACCTGCGCCAAGAGCTTCTCCACCGCCAGCAACCTGCGCGTGCACAAAAGGTCGCACTCCGAGGAACGCCCGTACAAGTGCGACGAATGCGACAAAGCCTTCAAGTGCCGGATGGGGCTGCTGCAGCACCGTGTGGTCCACTCGGGGGAGAAGCCCTTCACCTGTCCCACCTGTGGCCTGAGCTTCGGCCTCAAATACAACTTCCAGAGACACCTGAGGCTGCACAGCGGGGAGAAGCCCTTCAGGTACGAGAACGATCACGTATGTTTTCTGTCTCGGCGAGGCTGTTTCAGTATTTGACAGAAATCTCTGCTTTTTATTGGCTCAACATCTGACAAAAAAACACACCTGAACGATCGAGGGTCACATAAGCACGCTGCTGCAGGCTGCACTCTGACCCTCGGGCGAAACGCTTGCCTGTGTCTCTTAACGTACCTGAGTGAGGTGCACAGGTGCACAGCATCAGCGCGGTCTTAGCAGGAAGACCAGACTTATGCGACTGCAGGTGAACTGATTAAATAAGGTGATTTTATGAGTGCTTCAGTGTGACATCACACATGAAGCAGAGGCAGGTTGTTTGCTGACATCCACCAGTGAACCACCAACAGAGCGCGGCGCGGCGCGGCGCTGCAGGCAGACACGAGCCAGCGTCAACGTTCCTGCTCCGTTCATTCGGTTCAGTTCAGGTTTATTTATGTGGGGCCAGCTTGATTAATACAGTAAAGCACTGCAGACGCCCTGTGAGCGAGCACGCGGTGAACACGTGTTCGTGTGCTGATCACTCAAAACATCAGATCGTGTTGATTTCTGTGTGTCGTCTTCTTTAACCTCTGACCCTTCCTCACCTGTCCTTCCTTCCTCAGGTGTGATCAGTGTGGCGAAGGCTTCACGGGGACCTGGGCTCTGAAGACTCACATGCTCGTTCACGGCGTGGCAAAGCCGTTCATGTGCGACCTGTGCGGAAAGACGTTCTTCTACAACTGCCAGCTGCAGAAGCACCAGCAGCTGGTTCACGGCAGCGGTGGCGATCGGGGAAAGTCCGGCGGGGAGGCGGGCAGGCGGCGTTCCACCGGAGTCAAACCGTTCAGCTGTAAAGTCTGTCCAAAGAGCTTCAGCAGCAGCAGCTCGCTGCGCACGCACGAGAAGAGCCACGCCCAAAACAAAGAGTTCACCTGCGACACCTGTGGGAAAGCCTTCCACCTGCGTCACCTGTACCTGTACCACCTGAGGCAGCACAGCGGCGACCGGCCGCACGTCTGCGCCGTCTGTCACAAAGGCTTCCTGCTGGCATCGCAGCTGAAGCAGCACGAGCTTCTGCACACGGGTGTCAAACCTCACCGCTGCGAGCACTGCGGCAAAGAGTTCAGGACGCCTCAGAACTACCACCGCCACCTGCTGGTGCACACCGGCGAGAAGCCGTACGAGTGCGCCGTGTGTGGCCGCAAGTTCCGCCAGTCCAACCAGCTGAAGTCTCACATGCAGATCCACACCGGTGTCAAGCTGTACTCGTGCGAACGCTGTGGGCGGGGCTTCTCCGACTCACGCCAGCTCAAGAAACACCGCTGTGGAGACGGCGAGCACGACTCGCTCGATTCTGCCAGCAAGCACAGGAAGCAGGCGGACGCGTTCCCATGGACGCACGAATATACGGCACAGTGACGCAGAAACAGGCCAGCGGGAAAACCCAGACAATTCCCGCTGACTCCACCCCCCGTGACTGTGTGCGGCACATCAAATTGTGTTCAGGGGGTGTGTCCATCCACCTCTTGAAGCCGGCATTGATTGGCCGGTTTGTTGCTTTGGGGTTTCTGTTTTTTTATCCCCTGTTAAAGACACAGGAAATGTTTGATCTCTGCTGCAAAACCACCTCGCACTCGCCGGACGCCCCCCCATGTCTCGGGTTGAGTAGCTGGGCCCCGACAGCATCTCCAGCCTCAGGAGGTAAAATGACAACTCTTCTAAACGGACTGTGACTCTCACCTGGCGTCTCACCTGGTCGTGGTGATTTAAGTTCAGCTGCCAAAATCAAACAGACCGTGACCTCAGTCGGTGACAGAAGAGGAATCAGCAGCTCTAATAAACATTTAGTTTGTTTCATCTGTGAAGAAATGACTTTGCTGTGTTTCGCTGTGTAGAATAAAACTCCTCCTCCTTTGACTGACGAGCTTTTATTGGAGCTGCTGCTTCAAAAGGATTTTTCTGCCCTCGATAAACGTGAAGTAATAATTCAGATTAAAATGCAGCTGCAATGTGTCAAAGGTAATGTCTACCAATCAAATACATTTTGTACATTAAATTCAACGACTTATGCAGCTAAAGCTAAAACTTACATGTGATTAGTTAAAGTCACGCTGTGTGTATGAGCAGAGTCTTCATCCAGGAAGTAGGTTCGAATCAGACAGCTGTGCAGACATTAAGCACATACGTGATTAATATCAGTGCAGCTCTTATGCAACGATTCTCCATAGCAACAGGTGAGTAAAGAGCGGAGCTCCCGTTTAATCCATGAACGTGATGTTGATCTGCAAACATCAGAAGAGACCAGCTTTAATCAGACATTTATCCAGCTTTCATTTTCATTAGTAGATGAAGCTCAGGAGTGAGAGACAAATGATGAAGCTCAGATTTGACCTTTTGATTTAATGTTTATAGGTAATGATCAGCTGACAGGATGCAGATGCTGAAGATAAATAAAGAGACAGTGTGGACATGTCTCTGCAGCAGTTAGTACCTACAGTTCAGCATATCTGAAGATGAAACAGAACATGTGCTATGACTGCATTTAGAACCTGTTAGAGTGCTGAACATTCACAGGACTGTGGAGGCTGCACTGACCTCACTGTCATATTCAAAAAACCAGTTTGAGATGAGCTGTGTGATCGTGCTGACAGCAGCATCAGAAAATGGTATACCGTGGTCATAAACCCACAGACGTGGTCAGCAATAACACTCAGGTAGGCTGTTAAACGATGTTCAGCTGGTACTGACAATCTGCCCTACACCATCCCATCAGGAGCAGTCTGAGCACCGGTGCAGGCAGGGTGGATCCATACTGTCATCTTTACACCAAACATTTAAATTTTGCTGCAGAAATCATGATCAAATCGGAAAACATTTTTTCATTTTGTGGTCCAATTTTGGAGAGTCTGGGAACTGCAGCCTCAGTTTCCTGTTCAGGTGTTGTAGGGATTGCAGCCAATCATCTTCTCGGAGGAGTGGCTAACAGCTTCACTCTGCTTTGGTGCTTGGCAGAGACAGCAGCTTACCAGGTGGCAGTGATGGCCAAATGAAGCTTTCTGAAGCTTGTATTGAAAAACGGTTCATTACTCTTTTCAACACAGTCCTCTCTGGTGACATCTGGTGGCCAAAAATATGAAGAGCAGCTTGAATCCACAAAATAAAACCGACTGCTTCGTAATGATTGCCCACAGAGTGGAGTTCTGTCTGATATTGGGCCGCTGCTGTGTTGCTTTAAACGTGTATTTTGGGGGGTTAAAAAAATGTGTTTTATTTGTTTAATAAATAATTATGACCAGTAAACTCTCCTTGTTTAAACATATTTCTGACCTGGGGGTAGAATTGATTGTGAAATGGAAAATGCTTATGGACTTGCAAATTAAAAACATGATGCATTTAAGGTAACCCTTTTCATTTTTATTTAAGAAGAAAATTAGTTCCACTGTGCGATGGCCGAACCTGCTCCTTTTCGTGGAGATAATTTCTCCTGCATTAAGGAAAATCCCTTCACGTGCCACAGAGGAGGCTGGAGTGCAGAGAAACTGGTAGAGATGCAGTTGTACAGTCTACCTGGGCCCCACCAACTATCAGCTAAAGAGAATAAATACATTCAATTGCTGCACATTTGGCAGACTATTTTTTTTTCTAAAGTTATTTGATCATATTTATATTACGAAAAGCAGATTTTTGACATTTTGAGTTTTTCCCGTTTTCAGATAAAATAAACGCACAAAACAAAAGCAAACAACAAGAACACAAAGCTGGAAAACCCACCAGATTGACCAAAATCTACTCAAAATACTCCCACACAACAGAACCTCCTCTCTTCCTCGCTGGCTCCAAATCTCTCAGTAGAAATATCAGTGGTTCGCTATCTGTCACCATCAAAACTCCACAAATCCCGTGAATGAGTTGCTTCTTTATAAACCATTGAATCAAACACCGGAGCAGTCAGGCTCTAAATGAAGCTTCGGACGTCACTGATCACGTGACTCTGGCCAAACGAATCAAGCGTCGACACAGTGCTTCTGAAGCAGTGTGTTGATTTTTTTTGACACACGCACCGGAGCGTCAGCTTCAAGCGGGTCATCACTATCAGGTGGTAACAGAGAAAGTAAGGACTGATCCAATGATGAAGGAGTAAAAAGAATATGCTGCCTTACAGAGGGCAGGATGGCTATGTTAGTGTCATTGAGTCATTCTGTCAGAATCCTCGAACCACAGGCTGAGGAGGAGTGGCAGCAGTCTTCCACTCAGAGCTCATTAACCAGCCATAGATCCAGACAGAAAGCCTGACTGGCTCCTGCATTTCAGCAACTCGTCTTTACGGCAGTGGTGGGAGCAGATTTACTACTTAACATCTTAAGTATCATAATTAACTGCAATACTTGTGTGGTTTTAGTACTAAAGACTGCCCAAAACAATTAATGGCTGCCCTCTAACACCCCTTGGGACCATCGCCAGGTCCATCACAGCTGACCCCTCGCACCACCTGACGGCACTCAGGTCAGTCAGGTCCCACACCTGCAGACTCACAAACAGCTTATTCACCTGGGCCATTCAAACTGTAAACAAACACTCCTCTTGTCTGTAATTTATTCCTGATGTCTTACTTATTATATTTTTATTCCATGCACAGTCGGTGTGGAACACCCACACTTGAAATACATGTACAATGACAAAAAAGGCTATTCTATTATGGGTTTGCTGCGGTACCTCTGGTTTGTGTACGTTATTTACAGTAAATGGAAAAAAAAGAATTGGGTTAATCCACGAAGAAGAAGAAGACGAGAGCGACGAGAGAGAGGGAGGGAAAATTGTTTTGGTCCAAAGCGCATGCGCATTGTGCCAACAGCCTGTTCACGCGGGTGTTCAGTGCTAGCCGATTAGCTGCAGTAAAGTCGGTTAAACTCCGGCAAACTCAGACAGTCTTCGTGCAGCCGTTGGTCTCAGGTAAAGCGTAGCAGTTTCCCATGAGCCCCGTTTGTTTCCGGGGTGAAAAAATAAGTTTGACGCTGTTTTTTCCGCGGTTTAATCCGCCAACGAACCGCTGCTAGTTCGGACATAACACGAAGCTAACGTCAGCGTCAACGGAAGCTTTAAACGGCCCGGCTGCTCAGGTGAGTCCAAGTAATCGTGACGGGATACTTCCGAAACACAGACACCTGAGCTAGCTGAACTTTGACCCCGTTAGGTGCTGTTGTAGGAATGGATTGTTTACTGGCTCGCGGACCTTGGGGTCAGAGGTCAGTAGCGGGCTCTAGCTACCACAAGGGGGAGTATTGAGCAGTAATCGAGTACGTTTCCTTTGACAGCTCAATCCTGGAGAGAGGAAGTACAGCACTACCTGTCTCATTGAGTTCCTCTTTGTTTAGGTCCTTCCTTGCTGAGCTGTAACGTCGAAGAGGAGGAAGATGTCTCCGGCGTCAGAGGTTGAGGGCTCGGACGTAGGGGGGCGGGGCCAGGAGACTACGCTGTCCAAAGAAGACTGTCTGTGTCCCGTCTGCCTCGAGATCGTCATGGAGCCCGTCACTCTGCCCTGCACACACACCTTCTGCAAGGTAACATGCACACACAATGAGTGCGTGTAGCTCAGGTGTGTTAAGTTACCTGCACGACCAGCAGGTGTGTGCACAGACAGGTTAGGGGTGTGCGTGCGTGTGCCGCAGTAGTCAGGACCTTTTTTGTGTGTGTTTCCGTTTTGTCCTTGAATGACATCATCAGGCTTCATTTCCTGTGACTGAAGACGTGGTTTAAAATAAAGGGAATTATAACTGACCCGCTGAGAGCTTCAGCTCCACCAGTCACACACCTGCATTCTAATCTGAACAGGCCAGCAGCAGCCAATTAAATGGCCAATCAGTGACTGGACTGATGGCGTTTAGCCTCCAGAGCTGATGTTCATGTCAGAGGTCAAAGGTCTGCTGGATGCCAGCACCTTCAGCCTGACCTCACACATTACAGTCATATGACTTCTCCTCAGGCTGCTCCGGCAGAACTAGGCCTGACTGTGTGTGTACCTGTGCAGGTGTGCTTCCTGGAGTCGGTGGATAAAGCCACGCTGTGCTGTCCCATGTGCAGGAAGAGGGTTTCCACCTGGGCTCGGTTACACAGCAGGAACAACACGCTAGTGAACGAGACACTGTGGAGGCGGATCCAAACCTGCTTCCCCCGGCAGTGCGAGCATCGCCTCAGCGGGCAGGGTGAGGCCGAGGACCCCCACTCAGGTAACGCGGACACAAGTCTTTGGCTCAAAACTGCTGTTTGTGAGGGGAAAAGGTACTGCTTTTGTAAAGGGTGAGGGGCAAACAGCATGTTTGACAGAAGCTCAGAAAAAGAAGGATTACTCTGAAATGTGAACTATGCAGAGCTGCTTTCTTATAGGTCAATGTGATGTTGAACCCACTCTGTGTGTGTGTGTCTGTGTGTGTGTGTCTGTGTGCGCACGTGGGCAGCATTGGTGTGTTTCCGCAGAGTTAGTGAACCTGGAGAGCTGAGGCAAGAGTATGAGGACCAGATCACCAAAGTGAGTTCAACACACACAGTCTTTTGCTCTGGATGTGTGAGGACGTGCAGAAGCCTCAGTGTTGCACAAGAACCCCGGGGACTTAATTTGGACCCCATAGAAATGGATGTTAAACCACTAATGAGGCACACATGGCTGTTTACAGGCATTGTGACGTCAAGGCTGCTCTAATGTGGGCCAAAGCTGACCAGTAAATATTTAGGGAACTGTAGGAAGTGAAGAGACGAATAATTACTGCTGATGAGCCGGGTCAGAGCTGGCAGTGTGTGTCCACATGTGTGGAGAAGTGGGCGCGTTGCTGCTGTGCAGGGCAGCAGCTGATGAGGGGCTACAGGTTTGATGGCGAGGAGATAAAACCCTGTGACTGTTCTACTTTTACAATTATTTTTTTTAATGTGTTTCGTAGCAGCTGTGAGTAGAGCTGCAGCTCAATACACCCCATGCCCCCCTTTAGATTCACCCCTGTTTGCTTCCACATGTGATATCTGCCTTCAGTCTCAGTAAGGCTCTGCCTCTTGACGCTTGGTGGTATAAACAGACTCCGCTTCCACGTTAAACCCTGCCAGCATCATCGCTGTTGCTGTTGTGTTTTTGATGTGGTCAGACGTCTTATTCACAGGCTGTCATAATGTTCATCCTTGGTAATAATTTAAGTTATTAAGATGTGTCATTGTGTACCTTTGTTTATGAGTTTATGCTAATGTGTACTTTTACTTTACAATCTGTAATAAATGATCTAAATCACTGATAAAACTTAAATACCTCAAATCTTGGTTCAAATGAGGAAAAACTAAATTAAATTTAGCATCTTTCACCATAAATGCTGTTGTTGAGTGAAAGCTGACCGCTCAGCCATTGGTGGGCGTGGCCATAACACATCTGTAGTTATTCTCACCTGTGACTGAAGCTCTCAGCCTGCAGTAGCACCCTCCAGTGGGTTAAACACATATTCTCCTGTGTGTGTGTGACTTTCACATGTCTGTGCTCTCACGCTGATGTCTCGGCCTAAAGGTCTGAGAACGTCCTGGAATTTCCTCATAATGTGCAGGAGATCTGTTGTGATGATGGCCTGTGGTTTGTGTGTCATCTGCCCCAAAGAGGAAGCCGATTAGATACTGATGGGTGTAAGGGTCCGTCCGCATCGGACCTCCTGATGAACACACTTTGGTCATTCAGGTAAATCTCAGGTGTGTCTGTCCTCTCTCAGCTGACCGAGGAGAAGCGGGAGCTGCAGGAGGAGGAGAGGAAGGCCAGTGAGGAGTACATCCAGAGGCTGCTGGCTGAGGAAGAGCAGCTGCTGCGGGATGAGAGGAAGAGGAGGGACGAAGACGAGCGGCTGGCCAGACTGCTCAGTGATCAGCTGGTCAGTGGTTGGTCCACACTGGGAGAGGCTTATAGATACAGATGCCGCACAGAAAATCCCCAATATTTGATTAAAAATCAGAAACTCTGAAGCGTCTCGGCTTGTTAACCAGCGATCAGTTGGTAGATTCTTTCTCTGAGGAAATTTATCTCCCTCTCTTTCCCTCCTCGGCAGAACCCTCCTCCTCCCGAGGACAGGGGTCATGTTGCTGTGACACCACTGAAGAAGAAGAAGGCGGCCTCTGTGGGACACATCGAGAAGTAAGCGACTGTTTTAAAGATCAAGGTCATTGAGAAAGACTGGTTAGAGTCACATGACCTGGAGTGTGTCAAAGTAAACTTTATTGTCATTTCTGCTATATACAGTACAGTATATAGAGAAGAGACGGCGAGGCTCCAGCTCCATTCAGTGCAAAACAACAATAATAGGAAGAGTAAGAAATAAATATACACTTAAGCTAAAAAGGATCAATAACAGTCTAACTTTACATTTTATAATTCAGATTTAAAGTGGCCTTGAAGTGACCAACGTAGCAGCTTTCCAGTTCACAGTATGAGTGATTTAAAGTGATCAACATGAGCAGGATTGTCCACAGAGCACATCTGTCTTTACAAAGGCAGTAGTATGTGGAGTGCAATAGACTCAGTTAGTGGTTTGTGTGGGAGAGCTGGTAGTGAGGTCAGGAGTCTGAAGCTATCTTGCAGTCTGGAGGATCGGGCCCAGATGCTGCGATAGTGTCCGCCGGATGGAGGAGGGAAAAGACTGAGGGGTCACGCACGATGCAGGAGGCCTTACTGATGCAGCGTTTGTGAAAGACGTCCTGTAGCAGAGGGAGAGATGTTCCGATGAGCCGTTGTAGCCGGCAGTTTCCAAACCAAATGGGCATGCAGCTCGTCAGCTCTGTGGTGCTCCTGTAGAACGTGGCGAGGGTAGGAGGAGGGAGGCTGGCCCGCTTCAGGTGTCTCAGGGAGTGGAGGCGCTGCTGGCCCTTTTTGGTGATGGAGGTGGTGTTAGGGGTGCAGGTGAGGTGAGATGTGCACTCCCAGGAACTTGGTGCTGTTAACAGTCTCTACTGTGGAACCGTGGATGCTGAGTGGTGTGTGGGTGGAGCGAGTCTTCCTGAAGTCAACGACCATCTCCGTGGTTTTGTCCACATTCAGCAACAGCTTGTTCTCACTGGTCTGACTTCCCTGGTGGGGGGAGGGGGTGGCTTTGTATGTCTCACATTAGCGTACAGTAGGCCAGTTGTCCTGTTTCTCCGTGTGGGACCAGTCACACACAGTCCAGTGTGACATGGTCAGGCTCTCCACCTATAATAACGAAGGCCTCGGGCTGTTGTGTCTGACGTCAAACTGAAATTAAAATCACTGAGCAGGAAGTGCCTCCTCAAACCGTGGACAAACGACTCACTGTGTCGGGAACGCCATCTGTATGACCTCACACATCTCTACTTGTTGTTTCAGGTTCCTGTGCCCCCGAGTGGCTCCGCCCAGCTCCACCTGCAGCTCCGCTTCCAGCCTCGTGTCCAACAAGGTGAGTTTGAACTTCTGTTCAGTTCAGTGTTGTTTATATAACACCAAATCACAACAGCCTTCCTGTTTCAGGAGAACATCCTTGTTTCAGAGGCAGCGCTACCGGCAGAACGAAGACCACCTCAGCTGGATTATTATGGGCCTGAGACTGAGCTCCGCCCACCCGAGGAGGTGGCCAAGCGTCAACCGGGGAGTCAGGCAATCAGAGACGGAGGATGCTCATCAGTGAAGAGGAAGAGCTCGGAGCTGGAAGCCACAGAGGAGGCGACAGCAGACACCAAGCGAGTCTCTGCCCATTTCCTTGGCTCCTCCTCCTTCTCCTTGCTGGAGGCGGCCGAACAGGAGCTACAGGAGAGGAGGAGGCAGGAGGAGGAGGACAGGCGGCTCGCTTTCATCCTGCAGAAGCAGCTCGACCAGGAGGAGAAACGGCGTGCCACTGACAGAAGCAAAGGCTCCACAGACGCCTACCAGCTCCGCCCACACCGACGAGCCGAGGAAGAGGAGGGCTGCACTTCCATCATGCCAGGAAGACCCTGCAGGAGAACGCCAAAGAACTGCACCGCCAAGCCCTCTGGCTCCTCCTCCTCCTGCTCAGGGAAGGGGAGCAAACAGACTCTTTTGACGGAGATGTTCTCCACCTTCAGCAGCTGAGGTGTCCTCTGCATGAATAAATTGAGCTGTCAACCTGAGCGCTGTTGTTACTTTAAAACACATCCTGACCAGACAGGTGGACACGCCTCTTACCTGTGAGTCGTCATGGTGAGCACACGGCGGTCCACAGATTTGATGGCAGTGACCGCCCACTGGGGAATCGTGAACAGAGTTCATGTGTTTTACTTTGAAAAGTTCTGCTGGAGAATGACTTCCTGCCTCTGCACGTCATTCAGCTGCAATGCTTCTTCCTCATTGGTGGAAGCGCTGGCGAGGACTCGGTGCCGTCAGGTTATTTTTACCCGTTTGCCAGATGACACCGAGTCACCATTATATTTCCAGCCCCAGCTTCTGTGACTCCGCCCAGAGCCCACGTCTGGTTGATGATTTGTCAGGTGGTGTGAATGTGTCTCCTTGTTGTTGCTGATGTCACTGGTGTCACGTGATAGGATGTGAGGAACTGTGGATACGATGCATGCTGACTGCAGTGGGTCATGTGACATCTGATTTATTTTTATGGTTTGAATGTTGAAAGTGGGAGTTTCTGTTTGTCCCAGGGTCACCTGAATGCAGCACTCACCCGGCCGCGCCATACAGTGGGAGGGGTTAAAGAGGC